TTACCATACCTTGGCCTGCACCTTAACCATAAAAAAGTTAACTTTTCTTAAAAGAAATTGTTGCTGTTAATACATTACTCAGTTTTTCTTATTATGTAAGCTGTTGTTTTGTTCTCCTTATCTTATTTTTTTTAATCCTTAAAAAAACACCAAGAAATGACCTAAGATTTTGAATTTTTAAAAACTGCTCAAGTTGCCTCCTTGCAATAAATAAGGAAATATAATGTGTAAATATTACTCCCTACAGAAATATGTAAAGGCATAAAAATTTTTAATTTCCAAAAGGAATATTCTTATGGTCTCATAACCAGACAGCACCATGTTACAGCTATCTGTATAAGGAACCAATTCCAAACTAATTCCAAGCTGGATTTATGCCATTTTTGGTCTTGAATGTCTTTTATTCTAAGTTCAGGTTTGGAAAAAGAAGGCTTCACCTCATTCTCCAGCTACCTAGGTTCGTGGAGATGCAGCAGCAGCAGTAGAAGCCAGTATGATGCAATGGTTTGAGTGAATTATGATGTTGGAGATCAGGATTCCAATCCCCACCAAGTCATGGAAGCCCATTGGATGGCAATGGGCAATCACACTCTCAGCTTCAGAGGAAGGCAATGGCAAAACGCTTCTGAACAAATTCTGTCAAGAAAACTCTGTGACAGATTCATCTTAGGGCTGCCATGACTTGGAAATGACTTGAAAGCACAGAACAACAAAATAGTAGTAGTTACAGTAGTAGATGTGTGCTTTCTAATAATTTTTGACTTACAGTGACTTGGGGCTTTGTTAGCACACCCTGCATACCTTGCACTGGATTTGGGGTCCTCGTATTTCATATCTGGAGCCAGCATGTTCTTGAGAGGTCACAATGACCTTTAGGAACACTAGGTTAGGAGAAAAAGAACAAGACCCGAGGCATGTGGACAATCCAACTAATAATACAATCAAAGCTGCTAAATGTTCCTTCTTTTCCCCACATCATGTACATTTCCTTTTGCACCTTGAAATAAAGGATCTTGTAGCACCCAAAGCCAACCTCTCTGCCTGCCCCCTGCCATATTCCCAGCCACGTCATCCTGATCAGTCACCCTGGGTTGTCTCAATCCACTGTTTTTGTAACTCCAAAGTTAAAGCCATTAACCAGCCTGGAATTCTTGGGAAAGCCATCAGGTCTTTGTTATAGTGCTAAAGATAATCAAGCACACCCCCAGAGGCTAGTAATCAGGTATTAAATATTGGCCTCAAAACCTAGCCTCTTTGCACACAGCCAGCATACACTGCTGCACACAGAGTATGCATATAGTTGTCCCAGGCTGCACTCCATGTATATTCTGTGTTGTCCTCAGACCCCAGTCTTGAGCCACTCTCTCTTTCCACAGCCAACTCTTTGGACAAGTAAATATTGCCCTCTAAACCAGGGGTAGGCAACCTTTCCCCTTTAAGGGCCGAGGGACTTCAGCTCCCAGAATCCCAGGAGCTATTGGCCAACATGGGACTATTGACCAACATGGCTGAGGCTTCTGGGAGCTGAAGTCCCTCGGCCCTTAAAGGGGAAAGGTTGCCTACCCCTGCTCTAAGCCCTCAAAAGCTATTATCCCATTTCCATATTTCCATTTTGGTTAGGTCTGAGAACTCTATGTGAATTACTATTGTGTGTGTGTGTGTGTGATTGCACTCTGCATTTTTCTAAATAAAATCATTTTAATTCACCCAAACCTGGAACTCTCCTTAGTTATTACTGGTATATACAGGTGCAAATGGTCCTAAAGGTTGCCCAGCCTCTTGCAAAGCTAATTTCCCCATCATTTAAAGTAATGTTGATGGTTGGTAGGGACCCGCCAGCCCCCTATCTATTTTGGTGAGTGTGTGACTTAGCCCAAGGTCACCACTATATCATGCTAGCTGTTGCTGTTGTTGCTGCTGTTATTATTTGCTGCTGTTATTTCTTTATGTCCTTTGGGATGTCAATTTGCTTTTTGAAGAGACATGTTAATGCAAGGTGGTGGATGAACTGACAACTTTATGATAGACTGAAAGTGACAAATAATCAAATATACCCGAAAAGAGATAGAAAAAAATCAGTTAAGGAAGAACTTTACCATTCTAGTTACTAATGCAATAAGAATTGTTACCTTGTCTTGTATGGTGTAAGATGGAGGGAAAAGAAGGGGGAAACTTTAAAAAAATATTGTTTATACTGTGAAGTGAAAAATAGTAATAAAAAAACCCTTCATTTCTCATGTACTTCATACCTGATATCTAAGATGTTCCTGCTGGGTGTTCCATATGTGTGTTTGCAACACAATCTCCTGTCTTCCAGGAGACCAAAGTGCTGTTAGGGGGAGGCAAGGGTATGGTGCCTTTATGGATGCTTCTGGGAACTGTTTGGTGGCTTTCCGCTGACCTTCTTTGAAATGTGATGTGGCATCTGGAAAAAGCCAATGTGATTCTAGGTTGCAATAGAAGTACAGTGGAACCTCTACTTACGAATGCTTCTACTTACGAAGTTTTCGACTTACGAAAG